ACATTGATCAGGGACGCTCCTGTTAAAATGCCAGGTGACAACCCAGGTGGGAGAAGCTCTTGGCAAGCAGAGCCAAAATGAGCTTGGCAATACGAAGAAAATAAGATAGAATTTTGCAACTTAAGTGTGTGCAATTAAGTGCACAGGAACAGAGCAAATGCTCCCATACACCTGAAAGTGGATGGAAGTGACAAGCTGACTTGCAAGATCAGGAGAAGGAAACAGGAACAGTGAATTGGCTCTTCAAAGGAGATCCAGGCAGCAGAGAGTAACCCCAGACCCCAGGGGCCAGCAAACATGGACTCATGGGGAAGGGCTGGAGGAACCTGAGCTCTGCAGCACAGGAGGGCAGAGGGACACAGGACCTTGAGCAAGGGGCTTAAGCTGCTCTGAAGAAGATCCAGGAAAAGAGCTTCTCCACAGCCACACCATGCTGCCAGTTATCCTTCCTTAAATCTTCCAAACATTCACGTGTTGGCAAATAAAGCTCATCTCTGTTAAACAACCACACTTACAACCTTGACACCAAGCCAAATGCATCCAATTCAGGGTTATTTCCTTCCAGCCAAAGGCCACGGAATTGAAGCTAGGAGGTGCCACCTTGCAGCAGGAGATGCCTCCACAATGCCCCAGGGATGCTCTGGCAGGGTTGTGCATCAGCCTCAAAGGACCCATACCTTGCCCCAGAGGAGCCAGCACAGTTGGAAACACACCCCAAGGGATGAGACAGTAAAATATCAGCCCCCTAAGTGCCAGATTTTAGATGTCACTTTTCAGGGAAACCCAAAGGACTCTCCAAAAAGGATGCTCATGGCCACAGACCCATGGTGGATGCTTGCAAAGGAGAGACCACAGGGAGGTGTGTGGACCTCCAGAGACAAGCAACTTGTTCCCCAGCATTCTGAAAATGAGAGGCACAGCACTGCAAAAAGCTCCAGGCACATTCCCCATTCCCAACATCCTTGCAGCTGGGGGACAGCTGAGAGGAGAACCCCTCCATGAACCTGGAAAAGCAGAAAGTGCCCACCTTCCAGGGCATCCTCCAAAACAGATAAGGATGCAATCAGGAGCATCTCTCCACAGTGCCCAGCAGCAGCCAACCCACAACCCCCCTCATTCACCTCCTCCTCCAGAGCCTGCCGGCTGCCCTGGTTTTAATCCCAAAGGCAGCATCATCCTGATAATTTCCTCCATTTTCAATCTAGTTCCCTCCATTTTCAATCCACTGATCTAGGGGCAGTCCACAAATCCCTTCATCCTGAGTGCGAAGCAATCTACTGCTTCATCTCATCCCATCTCCATTTCTCTAATTCCTGGAAACAGGGATGAGGTTTGGAGCACAAGGGCTGCCCCAGAGCAGTCTGTCCAGGCACTGCTGGACAGAAACATGGGGGATGGGGCTACTCTCATGAATGTCACCCAACTTCTCAAAGCACCTGGAGCAGGTCCGAGCCCCTCCTGATCCAGGGATGGGGGAACATATCTTCCCACTCCCCCCAGGTGCCATGCTGGGGACGTAAGGGACAGATTAGGTGCAGCACAGAAAACATGTGTGGATCAATCAAGGGTCATGGGGGTAGTTACAAACACCCCGGTCCCATCAATCCTGGTTGGATCCAGGGCTCTTTGTCTGCAATTCCAAACCCATGAGTTTGACCCTGGCCATGGATCCTCTTTGGGAATGGGAGACTGATCAGAGACATGAGAAATGGGAGTCTTGTCTGCCTTCCCTGGAATAGTGACCCAGCACCCCGAGGGGATAGGTCGGGATGCAGACTGACCCCATCCCTCCTTTGCCAAGCCCCCAGTGGTGCAGGGCCAGAGGAGGCGGGAGCAGGGGATCGCACACCGACGGCCACCACAGGGCTGTGTCCCACCCAACACTGTCCCCAGCCCAAAGGAAGGGGCTGCAGGGTGCTGTGTGACAGGGCTGTGTGGTGGCCGTGCTGGGCTGCAATGTCCCCATCCTGCACGGTGCTGGCTCTCTCTGCTCCAGCTGACGAGGAGGAGGATGGGGGCCCTCGGCATCCGGAACTGGATCGCCAGTGTGCTGCACTCAGACCCTGACAGCAGGCTCCAAAACTGTCACTCCCGATCTGTTTTCACTTCAGCTAAACCTCAACCCCGATTACAATCAAGGCGAGACGCCTCTCCTCTCCCCTTCTCCCTGTGGTAGGTCCTCTGTAACCTTGGGTCTCAACGCTGAGCCAAACCCCAGCCAGGGAATACGTCGACTGGCTCCGCTGGGAATTGGGGGTGCTGGAGACGGAGTCAGGACTACCCCTGTCCCCAAACCTGGCCCTGGCAGCGAGGGCACAGCCACTGCAATGGTTGCATCCCTGTAGGGCTGTGGGTGTCTGCCAAAATCCGTGGGGGATGTGCCACCGATATCACCAACACCACAACCTCCCTCTGCCACGGGTGGTATCCAGCTTCAAGGTTGCATCCATGGACTGGAGGGGGTTTGGTGCCAGTAGGGTGCCCCCACTGCCCGCTGCCAGCTCACTTAGCAAGCCCCAAATTAAATAAATAAATTAAACCAGATCCGTGTGTGTGCGTGCAATCACAGCACCAGGATGGATGCGTTCAGCAGAAAGCTGGGAAAAAGCTCAGCGGATGGAGACAGCCCTCACCGACGGGGGAAGTTTTCAAATTCCCTTTCCAACTCAGCTGGCCATAAAGCAGCTGCAGAGAACCATCAGACTCCTGTCATAGGGGCTGTCACCCACCCTCATGCTGCAGGACTGGGGGGCTCAAGGGCAGAGGTGCCACCTTGTGGGTTTGGGAACCATCCCCTACTCTCCAAAGGCACAGACAGCCTGCAGTCAGGGCTCCCACTGCTCCGCCACCACCGGGATTGAGCTCATCCCAGCGTGCCAGGCATGTTCTCCCCCCACCACGGAGAGCCACGCCGCCAGCAAGGTGCCCTCTCTGCCTGCTGCGCAGCAAACACCCATTTTCCAAAAGGAGGCCTGGAAAAAGCAATTGATGCCCTGGGAAAAACAATCCTGGGACCACCAAAGCAGTATGGCTGGCTGGTACCCAGGGGAGTACCCCTCAGGGTGGGGGTTGAGCAGTTTCCTGTGCCCTTGGTCCACCCCCAAATCTGAGCTGGCCACCACTGAGGGATTTGCTCCATTCGCCAGCGATCCTGACAGCATTCCCCTTCCCATATCCCACACTACATTCCTGCAGCTTCTCCAATGCTATTTTGAAGGCACTGAAATAATGTTGGAGGCACTTATGAAGAGATTTGTCCCAGCAGCCTTTTGTGCCCACCTCAAAATGACCATTTTTCTTTGAAGGAATTAGCGTCTTCTTAATTCAGCAAGATTAAAAGCACATTTCCTGCAGTTATTTCCCAAGAAGACAATTTTGCTTTTGTGTCTGAGAATGCTGAAAATATTTATACAAATGAATCCCTAAAAGAAAGGAGGAAGTCTGAGATTAAGAGCTTTGGAAATATTACTGAATTATTCTAGAATTCTGTATTAAGAGCAAAATCCCAGATATGAGGAAAGAATGCCTGTTGGTTGTTTTTTTTTTTTTTAATTCAGGGTTGGGTTTCTGTGTCAAAATGCAGCCCAGCATCTGTCCTTGCATCTGTCAAAACCAAGGTCAATCATTTTATGGAAACTTAAACAAAATGTCCTTGAGCTACTGTTTCTTGTTTATTTTTAAGCTAGATGTGACTTCCAATTAATAAAATCAGATTTTTTAAGATGGCTCACATTCAAATCACATTATCCCAGAAATCTCAGATTACGAGAAACACATATCTGAAAAATATTTTTCCTTTATAGTATGGAGATGATAATTTGAGGTTGATTTCAACAGCTTTTAAGTACTCTACAACATTTGCCACTAATATTTCACTTTTCCACTCATAAAGTGATCATGAAACCAAGGAAAATGCAAAAGAAACATGAGGGTATCAGGAAGAATTTTGACACCCTGAGGAAAATGGGTATCTGAGGGCAAACAGAAAACAAAGCAAGCATCATAATAGAAGGGATTCCTCTCTCCGAATCAAATTTCCCCAGCAAAAGGAAAGAAAATGAGTGAAAATAGGATGGAATTAAATAAGATTATTTACAGCATTAAAAATTAATGGATGTGGAATGGAATTAGAAATTTTTTTTTTAAATACTGGAACTAGAATGGAATTCAAAATAAAAATATTAAAAATTTGGAAATAAAGTGGAACAAAAAAGTAGAAATACCTAAAACAAAACAAAACAAAATAAAAGAAGGTTAAAAATCAAATTAATCAGGATTGGGGGTTTTATTATATTGCCACACTAAGACATGATTAACATTCCTCTTATTTTAGTGTCCATTCATGAAGGTAATTCCATTTGTGCCATTCCCGCCCAAGTGCAAACATAAATGATGCTGTCCAAAGCCTGAGCTGCAAATTACGGAATTTAGGAACAGCTGGACATTCTGGTTAAGCAAGAGATGGATGCCTCCCTACCCAGGGCGGCACTGGCTGCTGGGTATGGGTAAAATGGAATTTAACTAAAATAACTACTTTAACTATTTAACAAATAATTTAACTAAAGCACGCACTTCGAGAATGATGATTTTGCAAAACCAAGTCGCAGCAAGATTTGTCTAATTTAACTCGCAAAAAATATCTGGCAATTTTTTTTTTTTTTTTTTTGCAAAAACAAAACAAAAAATATTTGGCAAAATAATTTCCTAAAAATATTTTGGGAGTTTCTCCCAGGAGAGACTTGGGGAGCAGCCGCTAACTTAAGGGAATCCCATTGCTCGCGTGCCGATGTCTCCCATAATCCCACCTCACACCACCACAGACGTAAATTTCTTCCACGAGAGATTCCCTTAAAACTGCTCCTAAGCATTCAAAGCTCTTCCAACCCACACTGGAGCCTGGGACCTGGCTCATTCCAGGACTCTTCCCTGACTTACACTGGTGGGACAATTTGCCCACAGCGGGTGGACTTCCACTAAGACAATCTTTTAAATCTCCTTACCTTTCTCAAAGAACCGCTTTTGTGCCGCGTTGGAGGGAGGGGGATCCAGACAGATGGCCAGTCTTTTCACGTTTGGAAAGGATGAAAAATGCTACAGGGGAGAAAAAAAATCCCAGTGATTTTTTTTTTCTTATTCCGCTGTTCAGCGTGGAAGGGCTCCCAACCTCATTGGCCCTGGGAGAACCACCACGTGGCACGGGATGAAGGGCACGTGACCTATTTTCTCCCAAATCCCTGGGTTTGCTGGAAAGGGGGATGCACCCACTGCTGATGCTCTTGTCATTTCATGGACTTTGATTTTTTTTAGTTTTTTAAAGGCCACTGAGCAAATCTGGATGGCTCCAGGCGATGAGGGCGAACCAGCCAACACTTCCAACATGAAGGAGAAAGGATCTCAGCCTGAGATGAGCTCCGGTGCTCTGCCTGTGTGCAGGGGGAAATTTGGGCATGTTTTGCAGGGTGCCTGCCCACCCAGTGCAGGGCCAGAGCTTCCAGGAGGGATAGGAGGGCTGTGCTAAACCCTCCATCTCAGAGGCAGCAGCATGGTGGGAAGGACCAGGCTGAAGCCCTGCCTGCACATCCCAGAGTTCAGCTGGTCCCTGCAAGAAGCGGACGTGTTACAACTGCTCCATCACCCAAACCAGACGATCTTGTGCCCCAATGTTGCTCCTGACCCCTCCTCACCTGTTCCCATCCTCTGCTGTCTTCCCAGCTGATGCACCGAACAACTGCTCCAAGAGATGACAATCTCCTTCTTTGGAGGCTGCTGGAACAGCTTTCTGGGAAGCTGGACCAAGAGCAGTGGAGGGAGCGTGGCACACTCCAGGTGGGCACTGCCTGCTCCCACCAGCCCTTGGCCACATCACGCCCGAAGGGTGTTTCAGTGTCCCCCTACATACACTCATCCAGCCCAAAATGCAGCACAATTCTGAGCATCCCAAAAAGATCCCCAAGACCCTGTGAAGCAAGGAAAGCCAAGCCACTGCTCCCAGAATCTGATTTTGACTGGTGCTGGGGGGTCCCCTTGTCTCAGCTCTGAGCCACCACATCCCAGCTGGCCATGGTCCACAGGCCAAGCATCTCCTGTCCTTCCCTCATTATCCAGGGCAGGTACCAGCCCTTCAGTGTCCAGACATTCAGTTTGGGGCAGGGAAAAGGAATTTTTGTAGCCCTCAGATATCCTCATGTTTTGTCCATCAGAGCTCAAGCCAGCTGGACCAGTCGGAAGCAGCATTTTTCTGGCCACCTGAGTCTCCACTGGGCTGTGCCAACCCTTGGCTGTGTCATCTTTCCATGCCAGGGATACACCTGTTAACCTGAAAGCTATGGCCAAATCTACCTTGGGCATCTGCCCTTGGTAGAGCCCTTCTGCAGAGCAGCTGTCCCCAGCCACACCATCACCCAAGGGCTCAAGACCTTCTTATCCAGGGATGGCACCTAAGGCTCCTGAGAGGACCAGCTGAGCTTGGTGAAGCAGCCATGGCCACCTCCAGCCCTTCTTGGCATCACCACCATGTCCCAAATGCTGGTTCTTCCTTGCAGATGTTCCCCTTCCATGGCTCTGCACAGCAATGGGATCCATCAGAAGCACAGCCCCTAATTCCAGATTCTTCCTGAGGCCAGACTGTCTCACCATGCTGTTCCCAAAACCACAAGTACAGCATAAAAGGCCCCAAACAGTGTAGAAAACTGCAGGGTTTCACCCAAATCCTCTCTGGCTCAGAGGGTCATGCTCCAGCCAGATCATGGGGCACTCAATTCCAATAAAGACACACTGAGGGAGAAACTTCCCACACTGAAACTTTCAAATGCAAGCTATGGCCACAGCCCAAAGCACCCAGCTTGTCACTTGCCCCTCCCACGTTTTCTGATGGCCACAGAAAAGAAACCTGAGCACCCTGGGATAGTGGAAGGCATTCCTGCCCAAGATAGGGGTTTGGAACGAGATGATCTTTAAGGTCTCTTTCAAGCCAAAGCATTCCACGATTCTGTGATTCCATGAACTCCCACCCCACCTTTCAGCCCCCTCCTTCCTCCCCAGCAAAGCTAAAGCTGGCTCCCCAGTAATCTTCCCAATAATTATATAATAGAGAGGCAGGCGGATAAATAATTTCAGACCACTGTGCCGACAGAAAGCAAGCTGGATTAAAAGATCAGAACAAGCAATACTTAGATTAAAATGGTTTGTTATTTTCAGCTGCGGGAAAAAAATCTGTGGCTAAAGCACAGAAGACGCGAAGCAAAGGCGCATCATCTTCTTTCCCCCACCCAAAACCTGACCTTTTTACATATTAGCTAAGACAAGTTCTAAGTTTCCAACCTCAAATCAGGTTTTGCTTCCCAATAAGTAAAAAAATATACATTTTGCCAGTTCACATGACATTTTAGCTAAAGATTAAGAGATGCTTCAAGTTGTGTTTTGCCCACATGAAGCCATCAGAGTCCTTAAATCAGGAGAACCAGTGCATGGCTTGGCAAATAACGTCACTGCCTATGAAAAATGTGGCTCCTGGCATGATGGGCACCAACCCCTTTGCCTTGTCCCATGCCTCCCCACACCCTCGAGCTGATGGCAGGTGGATGCCAGGCTTACCAGCAGTGCAGAGGTGGCAGTGGCAGCTGGGAGAAGCCCATCAGACAGTGGGACAGCTCTCTACAGGGACCTATATGTTGTTCCCCTGGCCCCCAGCAAGGTCAGCAGCCTGGGGTGCTATGCTCTGACTGATGGCTTTGGAAAGGCGTGAAGGGGAGGCAGGAACAAAACGGGGGAGAGAGGGAGGTGGTGCTGGGGGCCGAGCTCTCCGCAGGGCATGGCACTCATCAGCCCAGTTTGGATCGATGGGTGATTCACCTTCAAGTTCAGATTGAGCAGAAGGGTCAAACTGGCAAATGGTTTGGCACCGGCAGGCACGTCCCTGCAGCCTCATGTCACAGCTGTTTGCCTTGCTGGAATGGGCAATTACCACCCCACAGCATCTCCAGAATCAGCATTCCCACCTGAGCACATTGCTAACCCTGTAGAGTCTCCATCTTCCAGCATCAGCAGTGACCACTCATCCCATCACCTGGATGTGAGATGGAGCAGCAGTTTTTTGTGTGAAGTCTCAGAATATCCTGAGTTTGAAGGGATCCACAGGGATCACCGAGTCCAGCTCCTGGCCCTGCACAGGACAATGCCCACAATCCCACCTTGTGCTCTTCCAGGTGTCCCTCCCAGCTGTAGTTTTGCTATTAAAGCGTCATGGTACCACACACACACAGGATCAGCCTTGAGTTCTGATGATGGAATCCCATGGGGCAAGAGGTCCAAGACACAGCCTTGGGGAGGGCTTGGACCGAGACAGGCACCAGGCTCCTATCCCTCCCATGGATGTGGGAGAGGGGCTGGGTCATACACCTGAGAGAAGGAATGGGATGGTGGACAAGGAGCATGAGAAGGCAGAAAAATTATGTCAGAGGCCTTACCAGAGGGAGATGGGAGCTATGAGATGTGATGCTCACCAAAATTTTTCCTTATATTGCAGGAAAGTGTATTCACTAAAGCCAGAGAATAAAACACACTTACTGGACGAGTGGTGGCAGAAACCTCAGACCAGACACCACCAATACCCACCACATCACCAGAGGCTGCGGATAAACCTCCTCACAGTTTTTTTTTTTGCAAGTTCTATCCTTGCTGCACCTGCAGCTCTGTGGGGAAACCTCCATACCCCGACCCAAACACAGCCTTGTGCTGCAGGTGCAGGCTGTTTGCTCTGGCCAGTCTCTCCCAATGTTTTCTGTGCAGAAAACAGGGATAAGTGACACTCATAAAAGGAATGGGAGAAAATAGAAATGGGTTTGTCTGTCACTACACTTCTGCTTTATGGAGCTGTCTTCCCCCTCAGAGACACGCATCCTCCCCTCCACTAATGGAAATGTTGCCCTACCATCCATTCGTGCCAGTCAATGCCTGGGACAACACGATGCCCTAAGGCCACTCCTGATCTATTTTAGTCACAAAAGCAGAGTGGCTGATGAAAATCACCCCGTCTCTGCACTTCCCAGCTTAGCTCTTTCTCTGGTTTTAATGGAATGGCCAGCGTGGTGGAAAGCAGGCGGCGAGGGCAGAGATGGCAAGTTGAGAGACCTGCACAGATGCAGGAGAGAGGCCCTGCCCCCACCTGCAGGTGTTCTAGAGCCTGAGAGACCTGCAAAGATCCCTCCTCCCAAGATTTGCCCAGAAGCTGTTGCTGCCCCATCCCTGGAAGTGTTCTGGGCCAGGTTGGATGGGGCCTGTGGAAAGTGTCCCCGTGGAACAAGATGATCTTTAAGGCCCCTTCCAATCTGAGCCATTCTGGGATTGTATGACTTGGAAAGGACCTTACCTTACCCTACAGGATGGCCTTGAGCTCCAGAGTGATTCCTGGGAAGGTCTGGCTGCACCAGAAAAGGGCATGCTGAGCATGGGGGAGAACTCAGCAGTCCACGGCAGGAGCCTGCAGACCAGGACACAGCAACGGTTAAGGCACAGCACAGAGGAAAGACCAAAGCTGCTTAATGTGAACTTCAGAGAGAAGTAAAACACAGACTGGGTTGGGGGTCGGGGGAGAATGATCAAGAGCATCACCTCCAGGTTGTGTTTGGATAGACAAGCAGAATTATTTTTTTTCCTACACTGCAAACAGGTTTGGGCAGATTCTCAGCATCCACCAACCACAGGAAATCATCCTGTGGAGGAGGAGGCCCCTGGAATACCAGAAAGACTCCGTGGTGATCACAGACCAGCAGTCCTCCTCTGTGGCCACCTGCCTGTGGTCATGCCCAGCTGTGGAGCCAGGGGCTTGCTTCCTGCAGAAATCCAGCAGTGGTGGAAATGATCCAGCATGTTCCAGAGCCATGGGTTCCAGATGCCAGCTGGATTTTTGCTGCTGCTCCCAATAAGTTAACTGGGGCATGCACTAGCTGTCAATACAATCAATGGAGCAGCCTCAGCCGCTAATAAACCGAGTGCCAGAGGGCTGGAAAACCTCTCCACTGCCCAGAATATTCCCTGGGCAGCAGGGTGAGTGGGCTGCAGACCCCTTGCTTGAACTTGGTGCTGCTCTTAGTGTGCTGGGGCACCTTATGTGTCAACAGGGAAAACCCTTCTCTTCCCGGTGGCTCAGCAAGCTCCGTGCTCATCCCCAGTGACCTGGGCACTTCCCTGCCATGGGAAGGAGCCTGTCAGCCTGTCAGTGCTCCCATGGGACCTCCTGAGGTCAGTCTTCAGCCCTGCTGATGCTCACAGCAGCATCAGCAGTAAGGTCAGAGAAGGTTGCCTAGGGCTTTATCCCTCTGGGGCTGAAAACCTCCAAGGATGGAGCATACACAGCCTCTCTCAGCAACCAGCTGTCCTCAGAATCTATGGTTTTTTTGCTCAATAATTCTCTCCATGTCCTCCAAGGTAGCAGCTACATCCCCAGCCAATGTCACCTGCAAGCAGCACAGGTGCCAGGATGGACTCTGAGGGATTTCCCTGCTCTCCACTGAGCCTACACCAGCCAGATAAATTCTTAATCCCAGTAACTGCTGCAATCGCAACATCCAGTCCCATGGGCTCTGGCCAAAGCTAAAAGCCTGCAAAGGATGGAAATCTCAAACTGTGACTCACCCGCAGGGCCAGGTCGGGATCCCGTGGAGCCGGTGGTCAGCAGTGCAGGAGGCAGGGAAGGATCTGGAAGACAGCACATCTCAGCACCCTGAGGAGCCCAGGCAGCCCCCCAACGTGGAATCCACAGAGCATCCTCCCAGCCCTGCTGCTGTGGTCAAGGGCAACACAGGGAACCGGGAAGCCCAGGGCCAAATGAGAGGAGTCCGTGATAATTGTTTTATTCAAATCAGTACCAATTGCTGGTCACTGATTCCGGGATTGATAACAGCAAGGGAAAATCCTCATCACAGTACTAGTCTCATCAACATACCCATGAAAAGGGAGCTCAGGCAAGGATTTAGGGATGCTGGTAGGACAACGGGTTGCAAGAAAACCCCAATCCTTCTTCCCAGAGCCAGTATGGGCACAAATCATCAACCCACATCCCACAAATTCATGGGGGAAGAGACTTGCACTCACTTCCAGGTCCTAGGTTTGAGTTTATCTCAAGGCAAGGCTTAGCATCCAGCGAACACAGCATTAAGGAATTTTTTAGCAGTTTTCTTAATCATAAATGAGTCCATCTTTCAATAGCTCTGCTCCTTCTTATGTCCCACTCCTTCCACACACCAAGCTGCAGGTGAGATCCCAGCCATGACCCTGTGCAGGTCACCTCCAGGCACACAGGAGGTTTGGTGCTGTGCTGGAATAACCTCAGTTCCAGCACAGGTAAGAGTGAACCTCAAGCAGGAGATTCTGCTGGGCACAACCATCCAGCACCTGCCACACAGCACCACAGTGGGTTCTTCCTCACCACTGACCAGTCCAAGGCACTCAGGAATGATCTTGAAAGGTATCATGAGATGGATAAGCAACATTTGGGCAGCTGGGGGACTATCACCCTTGCCATCATCTCCCAAATCCTCTCTCCAGCATGGCTAAAGGCCCTGCACCTTGTGGCTGCCCTGACAGTAAAAGCAAAGGAACCAGTTTGAATTTTTTTTCCTGGTTGCTCTCCCCAGTGAAGCATGCATTGCCAGGAGAGGCACCAATAGGCTGCTCCCACCAAAAACTTTCCACCTCCTGACCCATGGCAGTGGAGAGCATGGCTCCATCCCTGCATGGCCACCTCGCCTGCTAGCTCTCATGGACTACGTTCCGTCAGCAAATTAGGTCAGCAACGTTCAAAAGGATCACTCAGAATGCTGAAGGAGTCATTTCTGAACAGCAGAGTGCTTAAATCCCAGCAAAATCCCACCTACTGCTCCCACATAAAAGTACCTGAGGATGCAAGGAATTCCAATGCACCGATGTGACGAATCCCAAAAATCAGCCTGTGGAGACTACAGCATTTCACTGCCCTTAACTCATCCCAGTGAGCCCACAGGGACCCAGGGGCTGGGCAGCACCTGAAGCTTGATGGCCCCACCTGCACTGGAGCTCTCGGCCACCCCATTCCAGGGGGCCCAAAATTTAGTCTGGGATGGGAATGGAGGAAACACAAGTACATGGACAAACCTGGGGCCATCAGCAGAATGCCAAGGGGAAGGAGCTGAGGGTGGCTCTCTGCTCATGCCCAGCTTCCAAGGTGAGCTGGTGGTACTTCCATGAGGGGGCAGCTCCTGTGCCTGGTCCCACAGGGCTGTGAAAACTCCCTGCTTTTGCCCAGGCCAGCGCAATCCTACCACAAATAATACCACATCCCCTACTCCACACGACTCCCCTTTCCCAAAAATACCAAAGCCTGTTGCAACACCCATCCTGCCTCTCCTGCAAACTCAGGACTTCAGCTTCCCCTCACTGGTGAGTCCACGGCTTTTTGTGACCATCAGGAACCTTCCTTGGGATGTTTGGGACCATGAGGTACACGTGTGAGGTCCAAGCTTTGCAGAGAGTGTGCAGAGCTTGGAGAGGTCCTATAGCCTTGCTGTGACTCTCCAGGGAAAATTCAAAGTCTTTTGGAAGACATGCTGTGAAGTGGTGAAGGAGGGATGGGATGGGGATGGAAATGGCTGGGATGGAATGGATGGGATGGGATGGATGGTATGGAGATAAGACAGGATATGACGGGATGGGTTGGATGGAATGAGGCAGGATAGGATGGGATGGAATGAGATGGGAATGAGGATGGGGTGGGGATGTTCTCCCACAACACCACCAGACCCTGATCCATAGTACACTCCAAAGACAGGAATACCAGTGAGATGGCTTCACCTGCACTGACCCCCAGGCTGCCAACCCCCTGTGTGCTGGAGGGAACTCCATTTCCCTCCCCTGAGGATGCAGCAGCTCCCACACTGCCAGGCTCTGCTTCACTCTGGGGTTCTGGGCACCATCGCTCCCTGTGCAGGGAGAGAGGGATCCTCCCCTGACCTGTGTTCCCATCATCCGCCTGCCCGAGTGTTCCACGCAGACAGAGGCAATGATTTTGATGTCCCAGTGAACAAGCTGTCGGGATGCATCAGCCTCAAAGGGCAGCCTTCAGAGCTGCCTTCTCCTCCCATGCGCTGCCTAGGCGAGGAAAACCGATTCCAGCTTCGCGTGCGCACACACACACACACACACTGTGTCACCGGTGCCTGAGATTTTCCAGCCTTTTAACTAAAAATCCCTGCAAACCCTACCCATGAGGAGGGGGAGGCAGCGAGCCTGGGGCGGGGGTCAGAGGGGAGGTGCCACTCAGCTGGCAGAGGGGCAGCCCCACGGGCAGAGCCCCGTGACGTGATGGAACCTGAGCGCTCCAGAGCCATCAGGAGCCTGGGCAGAGATGAGCTGAGAAAAGCCATGAGCAGAGCTGACATCAGCCCCCTGGGTGGGTACCTAATGAGCGGAGACACTGTCCATTTGTGGAGATGAGGAAAAGTTAAAAGATTTCCGAGCTGACACCTGGCAGCCTCCCTCGGTGTTCCTGACCACACAGCAGGGGAAGGAGAACAGCGGTCACCCCCGGCTCCGCAGGGGTGGGTGAGCTGGATGGCCACGGGGTTGACATTTCAGCAGCTCATCCATGCTGCCCAATTCTCCCCTGCTTGTGTTTTTCTGCCACCTTAAAAGAGAAACTGGTGCTTTGTGGGAGCTGGGTGGGGGAGGTCTGGCAGGGGCCCTTGCGGCCCCATTGTCCAGGAAAAGGCAGCAGCATGGCAGGGAGCACATTCCTGGGTCTAGCAGCACACCAGACCTGCTCTAGGCTGGGATCTGGGCACAGGCAAAGGCTCCTTGTGTCCTGTGGTCTCCACATCCCAGGAGTAGGATGGCACTCAGCAATGCCTCAGCCCCTGACGTCGCCCAGCAGCCCCCCCATGCTTCCACAAACCTAGTTCTGTCAGTCCCTATAAATCCAGCCTTCCCTAACCCCACTTGTCACAAGCTCTTCCCTAACTCACCTCCAGCCTCTTCCCAACCCACCACCTTCCACTGGTGACATGACAGGAGTGATGGAGCAGGAAAAGGGAGAGCCCTGTATCACTCCTATTGCCTCCCAGCTTTCTCCTCAGGAAAACCTGGGTCTAAAAGTTTTTAAAACTTTTTTTTTTTGAAGAGCCAGCAAACAGCCCCATTCCCCCCCAAATCACACAGTGAAATGCTGTTCTCCTCACCTGCCTACCTGCTTTCCTAAAGGCCAAGTGGATTTACAGAGAAAACACCTCCCTGCAAGTATCCTGGCTGAAAAGGGAGATCTTGGAGCATCCTCAAGGCAGCCTAAAAAGCAGCTTAAAAACACTGACATTACTTCACATGGTTTTGACCACCTCCACCAGCAAACAGTCTCAGGTCTAAACCCCATTACAAGCATGACTTTCACCTTCCTGGCTCCAGGGATTTTTGCTCCTTTCCAACAAATATAGCCAGAAATACCAAAAAGAAGGGTTCAACCCTTTTCCTGGGATGCCTGGGAGTGCAAAGAACAGCTGGATTCAGGCTGCTCCTCCCTGGCACCCGCTGACCTGCTGGGCTTGAGCAGATGGAGCAGCCACAAATCCCCCCATAAGCCAGGGAAGGAACTAATCTCCTAGAGGACAAATTGGATGGCAAGGGGGGGAAGCTCAACGTTCCACCTTTTCCTCCTTCCTCTAACAAACCCAGCAGCACCCACCATACCCAGAGGGATCACAGACTCCCGAGGGCAGAAGAGGCACCAGCAGTTTGGGTACCTGGTGGAGACCCAGACTGGGGACAAGGAGACATTCAGGTCACAGCGAGCTAAGCCTTACCTGCCCTGCGCAGAGAGGCACAGCAGCTGGTGTCTCTGTGTGGAAAACCACATCTGGTGAGCTCTGAAAACTTCCAAAATGCTCTCCAGCCTTGACAGGCTGAGGCTCCTTCAAGACTGAGAGGTCTTTGGTAGGTGTGGAAAGCCGGAGGAGCAGCCACTGGGATGAGGCGGATTACCAACAGTGGAATCCCTGGTCCTTCCTCACTGTTGGAGGAGGATTGTAAGTCCACTGGAGAGGGTTAGTCCAGGTTCACAGTATGGGATCAGGAGAGCCAAACACGCTCTCTCCAAAACACAGATATTCCCAGGACTGGGAATGACAACATGCTGATGTCAAAGACCCACAGCAGATCCCACCATGGACATCACCTCCCACCATGTCTTTCAGAAGGGTGTTTCTGCCCCTTCAGCCCAAGGACACAGAGCCTGGTCCTGCTCCCAGGGCCATCCACCAGCGCCCAACCCAGTCCAGCTCATTTTCCTTCTGCTCCAGAGGCCATGGAAAGTGAGAAGGTCAGCAAATTTCGTGCCACCCTTCATTCTTCTGGGTTGCGTTTTTGTATCCTCTCCTTTTTTCTTTCTTGTGCCTCCTCTTCCCATGCCTAAGGGCTGTAAAACTCCTCCTGTGTGCTCACAAGGGACAAATGCCTTGACAGATATTGTCAGCCCTACTCAGGACAAGGCGGGATAGCTGATGAGGACAGGCACAAGAGCTCTCAGAAATGCTTGGAAGGAGGAGGCTGCAGCCAGGGAGAGGATGGAAAAGGTACAGGCTGGGATGCGTGGCATCTGGGTTTGGATTGCACCCTGCACCTCAGATGGAGCATCATTGATGTAGTTTGTTTTGGGGGCGGCACCCCAGGGAGTCCCCGGAGGGCCTTCTAGGCTGAGTGTTGGCTGGCAGCAGCAGGCAGGCAAGGAGACTCCACACGGCTCCTGAGGGTGCTCATTAAATGAGGGTTTATTGGAGGTCCCATCCCCGGGAACAGCATGGTTACTGAGGGAGAAAGGGGGAGGGAGGGGGAGAAAGAAGGAGACTAGGGGAGGGAAGGGGCAAGAGGGGAGGAGAAGGGCCAAGAGAGAGTCTGATTTCCCTCCCAGAGCCTAAGAGGGAAATTCAAAGTGGGCACGGAATCAGACTTGTGCCAATGGGATTACAGATAATGATGGTTCAGGGCAGGACCACAGGCTCGGGATACACCATACATTTTGGAGGGGTGAGACAGAGCATACCATTTAAATAAAATGCAATACTACAGATCATGAATGGCCAGCAGAGCCTGGGGAAGCCCTGATGAGGTGTGACACCCACAAGTGTGTCACAGCATCAGTGCCACCTCTCTGGGTGCCACTGCACATCCAAAGGAATGGGCTGGGACAGACGGTGAGCCATCGGTGTGTCCCTGGGGATCACGGCCACTCAAACTATGCAGTCAAAACAGGCAATTTCAAGTCCCCCGCTCCACCCCATGTCTTGGCGGGGAGATTTGCAGAAAATCAAAGCATTTCCTCGAGGAAACCCCAGAAAAACATGTTTTCCAGGTAGGAAAACTGAGTCACAGAGGAAACCACCATGGACAGGCCTGCCTGTCCCATGGAGCCGCAATGTTCCAGGGAAGGGCTTCATTTCCCAGATACCCTGGGCTCATGTTATCATGCCCTGCCTTCATGGTATCAGTCCAATAAAAGCCTTTGAATGGGGAATTGTTTCTATATTTTAAGGAAAGTTTAGAGGCACAGAGTGAGTGAGCATCTCTGGAGGTCTCTGGCCCAGCTCCCACCCCGAGCAGAGTCACTCCAGAGACAGATTAGGCTGCCTGGTACGAAATTACTCCACCCTGAAACCTCAAAACTTTTTCCACGCCCTCCATTTTCTGCCTGCACACAAGAAGATGTTCCCTGGATGCCCTCAGCCAGTGCCATTGCCAAAAGGCCTCATTTTTATCCTTTTCAGAGAACACTGGGTAGCAGGGACCTCATCACAGATCATCACCTGGATAAAAGGGGACAGTGGTGACGTCCCCATGCCCATGGTTGTGACCCCATGCCCAGAGCAGTGTCCAGCCTGGAATGGCCACCAGCCTGCGTGACCTGTGCCAGGGGGAACATGCCACCACCACCCCAAGGGTCCCCTGGACAGCACCGGGCCTGGGGTGGGGCTGTTCCTGCCTCCTCACCTCCGCAGTGGGCTGTAGGCACAGCACAACCTGGAGGCACATCTGGCAGTGCTGGAAGAGTGGTGCTGCAGCTGGATGGGTGGCTCCTTCCCTGCAGAATAAAGGGATGAGAGTCAGTTATGGAGCAAAAGCATCCTCCAAACAATACGCCCCCCACAGCAGGTCCCCATCCTGAGGACACCCACACAAGCATTTGAACCCATGCCAAAGATGTCACCACCACAATTCTCTCAGGACAAGCAAGTCCTAGATGAGCTTTTCCCAGCCCAGCTGAGCAGAGTCCTATAAGGCATGATCAGAGGCCTCTGGGGCACTTGGACTTTCAGGAAATCATCACCTTGTGCTGGGAAAGTAGGGACAAGAGGGTTTGCTCCTCAGTGGCAGGGATGCATGAGTCATCCTCCAGCCTGATGCCCTTGAAACAGAGCCAAAAAAGCTTTTACCCAAAGTAGCCAGCAATAGGATACCAGAGCTGAAGCTCCAGGATTAACCCTTTCCTGGCAGAAGCTGGCTGGCTGCCCTGCCATGCAGATCCTTTCTCCTCCTCTGCTCAGTGCTGGGTTTTCCCACTGTGTGCACCCACCCAGTGCCAACACTGCCCTGGCAAGAGCAGGAAGGGGGACATGCCATGAGACCCCCTATGATGGGTTGCTGCCAGACCAAATTCCCCAAATGGGGATACGTCATTTCTCTTCCACATGTCCTACAACACAGCCTGCCCAGCAAATAGGACAATGTTTGGGGTCCAGCAAAGCAAAAACAGAACTCAAAAAAAGAAGGTAGAAAATTTCAAGCTCTTTATTTCCACTGCTTTGGAGGGCAGGCTCTTGACTCCTGCACTCCCGAGTCCTTGTTTCATTTAGGAATCCACCAACTATCCATATCTCTGATGGGATCCTCATTGTTTGCCAAGACTTGATGACCTTTCCCCAAAATAGGGAGAACTAGCCTCCTGGAGAATCCCATATTCCCTCCTTGACAGAAAAGAGCCCCTTAGGGACAAGTGGGAATTTCTGTGTTAAAAGGAGGTTTTCCTCTCTGCAGAGAGGTGCCAGCAACTAGCTTTCCTGCCAGCCTGATGACAATGGACCTATTCCTGCAGTGTGGAAAGGTGGGAGGCCATGGCAGTGGACACGAGCATCACTGAGCTGGGACAGGGCAAGAAGATGGAGGATGATGCTCCTTCCCAGGGCTGGGAGTGAAGGGTCCACCAGGAGTGGCTGCTGCACTGCAGCCTTGCTGTACAGGGTCCCAAAACATGCCCAGCCTCTCCTGGGGCCATCAAAAAGAGAAGGGGAATGTGCTGGGGGTTACATTGGTACCCACTAACCTGGGCTGGAGTCTCCTGCCACAGCCCCATGGACCCAAGCATCGCTCAACCCACCTCAGCAGTCTGGCAGTGTAAGTGTATTGGTATCTTTTATTTTGGCATTCCTTTACTGCCAGCTCAGACAGGGATTTCCCTCTTGAATTCTCCCACAGGCCGCTATGCAAATGCTCCTTGAAAGCATGGATTAGGTCACAGAGATTTTGAGTGGCTTCTTCACCTTCCCCAGGGTTCTTCATCCTGTTTGCTTCCTTACAGTCTGCAGCGGGGGCTGCTGACCATCTCCTCAACCCTGGGGGATCCCTGTGTCCCTGCCAGCCCACCCCAGACCCCGAGTGCAGTGTCCTGTGCCTCCCACCACGACCACCCACTCCCTTGTACTGCATCCCTCATGATGCACTGACACTCTCTGGTCTCCCAAGGATGGGCAGCACGAACCGCCCAGGCCTGGGAAGCCTGGAACACCCAATCTGTGCCACAGCAGTGGGCACTCCCCCACACCCCCAGCACCAGGGGCACCATGGCCCTGAGCTGCACGATCTGCCCGGCATGCCTGCAGGACTGGGGGAATCCCTGCAGTGATTCCCAGGGAGCCATGCAGCATCCGCACGGGGTAGGGATCTCTGCAGTGCAGCGTGTGCCGGGGGATGCTGCACTGGCCAGACTGCTGCACGGACTCCTCCCCAGAATGGGTCCCCACCCAGACCCCAGGAGGACCTTCTGAAAGGAGGTGGGCAATAAACACTGCCCCAGGGGCCAGAGCTGAATAAATTGACCCCTCCTGAGCCCGCTCCATGTGCTGAGAGGTGGTGGCTCCAGTGGGGAGTAACCCAGCCCAGGGCACCCACTGCTCCCTCGAGGTCCCTCAAGGCACATGCTGAAGACCCAGCACAGTGACTGAGTGGGTGACAGCCCTGCCTGTGGCAGGGGGTTAAAATTAGATGGTCTCTAAGGTCCTTTCCGACCCAAATCATTCTGTGATTCTATGATGATTCTGACTTCGGAGGAAGAACAGAAAAGTTCTGCCTGGGAAACTGGTTCCCAGGAGATATCTACCCAGCTGCAGGGGAAGTTTTGAGACCTGGGACCCCTTTTCTCCCCGCAGCACTGATGCTGAGGCTGCATTTGCACCACTTGGTGACCACCACACCTGGAGCACGGGCTCATAAGTGACCACCAGCCTGACACTTGTGAGATGTCATGGGTGCTGGCACCCAAAAACCAGCAGCCAGGGCTCAGAAACACATTGTGGGACCCCTCGGGATATTCCCACCCAAAGTCACGCTGCATCCCCGCCGTCACCCATCCCTATGCACACTTCTCGCTGCACTAGCAAGTCAGGGTGGGGTCGGAAAGCCGTTCCCCTTGGGGACCCCCACTTATCCCCAGGCGGAGACAGCAGTTTGGGATGGTTTCAGCAGAGCCCGGGAGCCTCCCAAGGCTGGGAGCCGGGGACCGACACCTCCCAGCAGCCTCGCACAGCCGCCCAGCCGGGAAGGTGGCAGCACACGGGGGCACCTCCTGCGCACGGGGGGACACGGGGACAGGGTCGGCGGGCGCACGCCCTCCGCTCCCGGAGCGAGGGCGCACCGGGAGCCGCCTAGCCCCGATGCTGCCGCCAGCACGGGGACCCTCCTTCCCCGCTCCAGGTCCCGGGCCCCCCACGCCCAGAACATAGCGCTCAGAGAAGGCAAAGTCCTACCTGCGTCCGGCCGGACGGACCGAGGCTCGGCTGGGGCAGGGCGGGGCAGCGGCAGGGCGGGCTCGGGGGCGGCGGCAGCCCGAGCCGAGCGGAGCGCCCAGCCCTGCCCGCCACCCGCCCGGCTCTGCCCAGCCCCCCGACTTCCTGCCCCTGCCCCGTCCCTTCCCGTCCCAGACACAGTCCCTGTCTCCAAACCTGCTCCTCCCCTGCCCCAACTCCTCCTCTAGCCCCTGCTCCTGCCCCAGCCCCTCCACTGCCCTCTCCCTAATTCAGCCCCTGCCGCAGCCCCTGTATCTGCTCCTCCCCTGCCGTAACTCCTGCTCTTCCCCCTGCTCCGTCTCTGCTCCTGCCTCCGCCCCGTCATTGCCCTCTCCCTAATGCAGCCCCTGCCCCTAAACAGACTCCTGCCGTCCCAGCCCCTGCTTTTCCCCCTACTCAGTCCCTATTCCTTCCCCGCCCTTCACTCTCCTCGCCCTCCTACAGCCCCTGCTCCTGTCCCTAAACCAGCTCTGCCCCTGCCCAGTCTCTGCCGCTGCCCTGCGGTGGCTGGGGGCAGTCCCAGGTGACACCGCCCACGGTGACTCTGCCCCAGGGTGACTCTGCCGCAGGATGCTGGCATTGCCCGGGTGCCCAACACCGCCCCGGACCCACACCCTGCGGAGCTCCTGCACCCGGACCCGGCTGCCTTCAAGGGAGGCACCTAACCCTGCCATCAGGGATGGACAGACAGGAGGGAGGGACAGGGTGGAGACAGGGAGCTGGCGGACACGTCTGCCAGGAGGGCTGGAAGCCTCTGAGTTGGAATATCCAGGGCTGCCTGGACCTTGCAGGCTGGCTTGGGTGGGACAGGCGTGTGTGTGTGTGTGACAGTCCCCAGACGTCTGGGATCCTGCTACCGCACTTCCAGGCGGGAAGATATAAATATTTCAGCGGAATAGCCGAGCCCTGTCAGCTTGCATTTGCTTCTGGCAGGGTGAGCGCTGGGAAAGCGGGAGGAAAGGCGTGGAGAGATGCCCTCGCAAGATGCGCTCGGAAGATGCGTCATCTCCCGGGAGATGGGGCATCAGCTCCGAGGCCGGATTCTCGGGGGCTCCACCTCCTCTAGGGATCCTCTTCCCTGCGGGAGAAGTGCACGGCCGTGCCTCAGCCCTTCCAGGTCCTGCAGGCCGGTTCCACCCCATAAGCAACTCTCGGGGGTTGCTGCCAGGCTGGGCGAGGGGATGAGAAGTTTCGGGAGCTCTGCTTGGAGCACAGCGGGGAGCTCCTCGGGACCCTCTGGGATACGGCCCAGCGCAGACTGGAACAAATCCACGCCCAAGAAGCAAACGGAGTGCAGAAATAAATCCAAGCAGCCACGGGTACCATAAATCCTGGAGGGAGCCAAGGCGGGGCAGCGTCCCGCAGGGCCCGCAGCCCAGAGGCCACGGCAGATGGGCAAGGAGCTGACCCCGGCTGAGGGCAATGGAAAAGGGGCTCGATGCTTTCGCAGGGGGGTTTGTCCCTGTATGGGACACAAGTGCCGGCGCAGCTCTGTCCCGGCGTGGCCGGGCTCTTCCTGTTCCTCCTCCTCCTCCTCCCCTTCCTCCCTCCCGCTGCACTCTGGGGTTTGTAGTCCCCCCTTCTCCCGTAACGTGGAGCGCGACTACATTTCCCGAGGTACTCCCACACCCTCCTCCTCCTGCTGCCGCTGTGCCGGGCTCGCCGCCGATCGGGCTCGGGTGGCAGCGGGAGCCCCGGATCCCGCCGTGCCCGGCCCGCAGTGCCCGTGCCCGCCGCCCACCAGGTACGGGGTGCGGGTGTCGCCGGGACGGTCCCTGGGATGCCGGCAGTGCTGTTCCCCCGGGTGCTGAGGCTGTGTGCCCGTGCTGTGTTGTTTACCCCCGCCTCTGTTTCGGGGTGAGCAGGTGCCGCGTACCCCCGAAACCCTTCTGTGCCAAGTGCACCCCCCAGCAACCCCGCAGCGCCCATCCCTTGGTGCTGGGCGGTGGGAGGCAGAGAGGTGCCCCTGCGGTGGCCGAGGGTGCACTTTCAGGAGCTTCCCAGCCCTTGTTTTACGGAAGATACCCCAGGGGTTCGCGGTCCCCATTCGGCGTGGCAGCTCCGCACGGAACACGTGGTGCCTTGGCAGTGTCGCTTGTTTGTCACCGACACGCGGCTGGGCAGAGGGCATCACGCCGACGACCCCCAGGGTTGTCCCCTCTGGACCACGGTGGCCGTGGCTCTGCGGGGAGCTGAGCCTGAGCTCAGCCACCCGTGTCACCTGTGACCCCGGGCTGACAGCAGTGTGTGGCGTGACAGTGATCCACGTCAAGGTCACACCCAGGTAACTCGGTGATAAACAGGTTCACACGGTGATAACGGACCGGCTCTGCTCCCTCTCCCTCCCTTTCTCTTCTCCTTCCTCCTCTTCCCTCCACTCCCTGGCTTGCACCAGGGACGAAGGATGGAGCATTCCCTGGGACTTGTGCCCACTCACCTCGAGCAGAGGAGCTCCATGGATGTTCTGGAGAAGGGGGATTGGGTGTGGCCGGATGGGTTCTGGTCTGGAGTCCCTTAGTGTGTGGGGACACACATGCTGGGAGTTAGGAGCCAGTGCTCCTGGGAATGGAGCAGCTTCATGGAGCTGCATCCTGGATTTAGTGTGGGAGGTTGTGTGTATCCCTCCTGGATGGACAGGCTGGAGTGGGGAGCAGAGGGTGGCAAACATTCCGTAGGGGTTGTGGTGCACATGGCAGCAAGCAGCTGCTGCAGGTGACATCCACAGCCCAGCCTGGGGACAAGAAAGCAGTGGAGCAGAGTCCAGGCACTTGCAGCTGGCAGTGGCCCCAGCACGGTGCTGGGGTGGGTGTTTGGCAGGGACTAGCCCTTGCTCCTTGCCCCTTACCCTTCCTGCCACAGCAGGGGCCGGTGCTCCAGCCAGTGCTGGACAGGCTCATTGGGCAGCGAGTGAGTGAGCACCTGCTTTGATCCCCAGGGATCTGTTTTGGAGGTGGGGGCTGTTTGCCCAGCCGTGAGCTCTGACACATGAGTGTTTTGGTGACACTCACGCACCAGTGCTCAAATCCCATGGGAATGCTGGAGCGGTGGGTCCTCACTGGGACAAATGGACACTTGACTTCCTGTAGGTTTAGGTCACCACCAGCTTTCCTCAGCCACCATCGGTGCTGCCTCATGTCCCTGTTTATCCTGTGTCATCTGGCAGCAGGGGGGGATAATCCCCCAATTTCACTATGCAGGATCCAGTGGGACACAGACTCAGGACCATGAACTTACTTTTTAATGACTGTGATTAGTTGTTCTGTGGTTATCAGGGTAATCAGGTTTCTAAACCTTGCTCCCATGGCGTGTATTGGCCTACAGGGAATCATGTGGCATGAAAAGTCACCTTGGTGACTTCTTGTGGGAGTGGGAAGTGCTGGGAGGACACCAGTCCAGGCCGCCTCCTATCCCTGCTCTCATCCCATGACCATTAATCGGGTCACCTGGCACTGCCAGCTTCCTTGCAGCCAAACCTCAGGATCTGAGCTTTTAATCCCCCTGTGGACCATGAACCTCGTGGCATTTTGCATTCTCTCCAGGCTGGGCATTGTGTCCCAGAGCCCAGAGCTCTTGGGAAGAGCCAAGGGGCAGCCGCTTGCCTGCAGCTCAGCTGAAGTCCTGCCAGCCACCCTGCTACTGAGTAACACGGGTGGCCCCATGCCCGGTGTGCACATTAACTCATTTCCACAGCCAGCACATTCCTGTGCCATCCCCTCTGGAGCATCCCCAGTGCAGGGTGTCTGCATTCCTCTGCCTCTGCAGCTCAGAGGGAAGTGTTGCTCCAGGAAGCAGCAAAACCCCACTGAGTCTTAAAGAGGACGAAAAGGAGGTGATGGGAGCTGAGGATGCCACACTGTGGATCCAGCTGCTGCATGCATTCAGGCTCCAGATGCACGTGATGTATGAATGCCGCCCAAAATGACCCCCCCCTGCTTCTGCACAGCGAGATGCATAGCTGCTTTTCTTTTTCCCAGAACATCTCCTGGGGAGAAGGTAGTGGTATTTATTTGCCTTGCGATTCTGGAGGAATTTTGAGCCTGTGCCAAATGCTGCTTTTTCCACAGAAACTGCAGCGCCCTGGTTTTCCATGCGTCCGAGAGTGCCTGTGGACAGAGAGGGGCTGTGTGGTCCAGCAGAGCCTGTATAGCTAATGGCTCCCAGGATAACGCCGCTGTCCTGCTGCAGAGCCATGCCCAAGAATGATGGCGCCAAAAAGCCAGCACCAGAAATGGTGCCGGACCAGCGCTGGAAGCTACAAGTCTGTTACCTCTGCTTCTATGGCTTCATGACACAGATCCGGCCCGGGGAGAGCTTCATCACCCCCTATCTGCTGGGGGCAGACAAGAACTTCACAAAGGCAGAGGTGAGCTGTGGCATCCGGTCCCCTACCCTCGTGCCCCCTTTATGGCCATGGTCACCATCCTGGGGCTGTCCAGAGCGTCCCTCAGTGCTTCTGGGGTGCACAGGGGTGTCATGTCCTGGGCATGGCAGCATGTGGTGTCTCGCGGTGGTGCTTTCCAGGCAGGGGAGGTGGTATTGTAGGGCCTTGTCTCACTTGGCTGCGAGGTCACCCTGTCCCCTGAGTTCCGGGCTCAACTTGCCTTGCATAAAACCTCGTGCCCAGGCTGCCAACTGAGTGTGACCCCTGCCCATCTTATCTGCCTGTGGAAGGGTGCTGGACTGGGAGAAGTCATGCCCCATCCCACTGGGGAGACTTTTCCATGATGGCACAGTGCACTGCCAGGCCGCTGGCAACGATGGGGTTAGGCAAGGAGGGGCCACAATGTCATCGATCCCAGCTGGCTGCTTTGCCTGTGGGAACACTGCATTCCCGGCACAGGAAGGGGCCGAGGCTCAGCCAGACCCCCAGCCGAGCATGCTGCTGGTCACATTCCTCCCTGAGGAAGTGCTGCCATGGGGGTCAGCAGCCAGTGCCCATACCATCTGCAGGGTGGGGGGCATCCCCAGGGATGTGCCCAGCGCTCAGCCCCTCCTTGCCCTCACGGCAGGTGACCAATATGATCACGCCGGTGCTGTCCTACTCCTACATGGCCGTGCTGGTGCCCATCTTCCTGCTGACAGACTACCTGCGCTACAAGCCCGTGCTGGTGCTGCAGAGCCTGAGCCACATCTCCATCTGGCTGCTGCTGGTGCTGGGCACTTCCGTCCTGGCCATGCAGATGATGGAGTTCTTCTACGGCATCACCATGGCTGCCCGCATTGCCTACTCTTCCTACATCTTCTCCCTGGTCGCCCCGTCCCGCTACCAGCGGATGGCCAGTTATTCCCGCTCCTCTGTGCTCCTGGGGGTTTTCACCAGCTCCGTGTTGGGCCAGCTCTGTGTCACCTTGGGTGGTGTGTCCTTCCTCACCCTCAACTACGTCTCCTTGGGCTTCGTCAGCTTCGGCCTCATCCTCACCATCTTTCTCGAGCGGCCCCGGCGCAGCCTCTTCTTCAACCGGCCCAGGGGGGCCGGTGACGCTGCTGTGCCCGCTGAGCTGGACAGGATGGCCGGGGAGGACAGCGGTGGGGGGGCACGGGGCTGGCGGGACATGGTGCTGTGCCGTATGCTGCAGGAGCTGGGAGCGCTGGCCAAGCAGCCCCAGCTCCGTCTCTGGTCCCTGTGGTGGGTCTTTAACTCAGCTGGGTACTACCTGATGCTGTACTATGCTCACATCCTCTGGAATGAGATCTCTCCCACCACGGACAACCGCCGGGTGTACAATGGGGGCATGGATGCTGCCTCCACGCTGCTGGGTAACTCTCATGGGATGGGGACACTGGGGGAGTGGGGGGACACTCACATCCTGCTGCCTCCTGTGGGAATGGCTGGGGACACCAGAGAGGCAGGGGGTCACTGCTGTCCTGCTGCACCCCTTGGGAATGGTGGTCCTTACAGTATTTTTGGTGGTTTGGCATTGGGGGTGATGTGATGGTCACCAGGCTGGGTCCCAGCCTAGTTAGGGCAGGGGATCCTTGAGGTGCTCACAGCATCCTTCATCCCTCCCCAGGAGCTGTCGCCTCCTTTGCTGCTGGCTACGTCAAGATCCGCTGGACGCTGTGGTCAGAGCTGGTGATTGGAGTGGTTACGGCATTCCAGGCAGGATTACTCTTGCTTATGAACAACACTACCAACATCTGGCTGTGCTATGCTGCCTACATCCTCTTCCGTGGCTCCCACCAGTTCCTGGTGCCCATTGCCATGTGCGTGGTGCTCCTGAGGACCCACTCCCACCCCGGCATCCCTGGGTTGATGCCAGGGGTTCACCAGTGCTCCCATTTTTCCCAGTTTCCAGATTGCTACCTCTCTCTCCAAAGAGCTCTGTGCTTTGGTCTTCGGGGTCAACACCTTCTTTGCCACAGTGCTGAAGACCATCATCACCATCATCGTGGCTGACAAGAGGGGCTTGGGTTTATCCGTGCATCCCCAGGTAGGGGTGGGGTCGCACCTAGGATGGAGGTGGTCCCTGAATGGTGTGGGATGAAGGGAGGGCTCCAAATGCTGTTTCTCCCCTCTCTCCTCTTTTGCAGTTTTATGTATATTTTGGCTACTTCACCCTACTGGCCGTGGTCTACCTGCTGGCGGCCATCAGAGTGGGTGTACAGCACAGCCACCGCAGGCAGCCGGTGGAGCTGGCCCTGGACAAGGAGCCGTGCCAGCTCCCAGTGGAAATTCCAGCAGAGGAGAAAAGCCCGGAGGCAGGCACCGTGCGAGCCTGAGCGCTGGCACCGCGACACTGTGGCTGGCTCTTGGCTCCCAAAGTGAGCATAGTCATCACCACCGTGTGCTTGGTGTCCTGTCCCACTGCTGGTTCTGGGTGCTGTTCTGTAACCGCTGGGACATGTTTTCTGCCCGGTGAGGACAGGGCTGTGCCCCTTCCCTGTCCCCACACACAGAGTGGTGGCAGGATTCCCATGGTGCCGCTGCCGTGTGTCACACAGGGGAATGGGTGGGGACCCATCCCGCTGCATCCCCATCATGGCACGGAGCCAGGCTACAAGAGGATGTTTCTTTATTCAGTGCCTTTAGAAAATGGTCTATAGAACACAATTGATGACAAAAAAATAATATAAAGATCCACACGCTTTAAATTGCATTAATTACACAAAATACAGTAGACTGTAAGAAATAGAGATCGTGTGACTCGCACAGCTTTTATGGTAATAATTTCCATACAATAACAAAAAAAGCTACTTACAAATTTCTCTTTTTCTTTTCTTTTTTTTTTTTTGGTTTTTTTTTTAGCACCTTGGATTTGCCCCCACCAATTCCAGCCAGCTTTGCTGTGCCTTTGCCATCCAAGCCCAGCAAAGGTGGTATGGGGAGAGGGGCATGGCAGTGCCTGCCCTTGGTACCACACATGCTCAACACACACACACATACAGAGAAACACGTGCTGGGGCACAGCTGGCCACTCCTTGGGGCCACCCTGTCACCCCAGTACCTGTGCTGGGCTGGCTGTAGCTGTACCTGGGCTGTGGGGGCAAACCCGGGTCCCCAGGGTGCATGGATGGGATGGGGGAGACCAGACCCCCACCAGAGCTCTGCTGGCTGGGAGGTGGAGGTGAGCATGGTGATGGGATGGTCCTTACCTGGGGAGGATGGAGACCATCTGGGAGAGCCCCAGCATCACCACAGGAGAGTCCCTTGGGTGGGATGCTGGTGTCTTGGCTGGAGAAGACCCTGTGGCCTCAGCAGCAGGGATTTGGGTCCAACCCCAGGCTCCTGGTGAGGACAGCATGGGGCCAGGGGGCTGGTGAGAGAGGCCCTACAGGCTTTTGCGGGGAACAGCCCTCATGGCAGCACTGAAATCTCCCTGCTGAGCATCCTCCCACCCAGCCATCCCAAGAAGAGCATCTGAGCAGGGAGGGGAACAAGCTGAAGTGGTTAAATATGAAGAGTTAGAAGAGGAGGAGGATAAGGAAGGCCACCAGCCCATGGCTGCCCTGCCCCGGGTGGGACCTGAGCCCCTGCCAACCCTGGGCAGGGGCCATGGCAATACTCTTTGGCTTCAGGTCTGCAGGAGAAAGAAACCCTGCGGGGCGAGAGTGGGCACATGGAGGGGACTGAGGGGCCCAGGGGCGGTGGGGTGCAGGCTTGCCCAACCTTCCCCAGGGTCATAGGGGTACTCGGGGGTGCCAGGGCAGGTATCACTTTTTGGTGGCGGTCATGAAGCTGTTCTCAATGCAGAGGACAATGAAGGTGTGCTGGCAGCTGCTGGCTGCCTGCTCCAGCAGTTTTCCAGAGGCCAAGGAGGAAGCCTGGCCAGTGACCGCGCGCTCCTCTGTCCGCCATGTCTCGCAGTAGCTCTCAGGCAGGCGCCGACCCTTGGCATCCGAGCCATGCCAGACACTCTTCTGTGGCCTGGAAGGGTGAAAGGTTGGGGGCTGCTGCTGCCCTGCCATGCTCCAAACCCCATTCCCCCATCGCTCAGTCCTGCACTCACCATCCCGCATCCCGCAGGACATCCCGGCCATCAAAGGAGAGGATGCGGGCGCCAGTTCTCAGCGGGGCCCCACTGCCCGTGAAAAGGGCTTCCCAGTTATTGAAGAGCACTTCATCCTGTAGGAAAGGTGGGGAAATGGAGGAGGTGGAGGTTTAGCCCTGCCTTCACCCCAAGAACAGCCCAGAAGCTCCAAGACCCAGCAGCCTCTGGGAAGGGGATGCTTCATGATGGATGGGGACTTTGCTATGCTCTGCATCCCAGATCTTGGTGGTACTGGGTTAATAGTTGGAATTGCTGATCTTAAAGAGATCTTTTCCAACCGTAATGACTCTGTGATCCTATTCTGTGATCCATCAGAGCTCAGAGAGCGTTGAGAAGGGGATGGGGACATGCGTACCCGGAGGTTGACGATGGGGACAGCAGCGCGGTCGGCCCTGCGCACAATGCTGTAGAGATCCTGCAGGCGCGAGGACAGGAAGGCACGGAAGGTGCCAGCCAGCCCAACCTGCCGGGCTTGCTGGAAGCACTGGAAATCGGCGCCCCGGATGCCACGCATGCCACCGCTCAGCGGGGTGTTCAGGGCCACCAGGTGCAGCTGCCAAGAGGGGACAATGGGGCTTGAGGGACCTGGCTTTGGCCACCACCATCAGCTCCCCTCAGCTGGCACATGGCACTCACAGCAGGCTGGAAGTCCTGGTGCACATGGGTGGCCACAGGGGCAGGATCTGGCCGGCGGTGAATGTAGTACCCATTGATGAGCTCGTGCTGGTGGTGGAGCAGGGGCTGCTCGGGCAGGCGGTGCTGGTTGGCCACCACTTCATCCCCACGCCAGGGACGGGCAGTGGCCGAGGGGACGTGGTTGCGGAGCGGGTGCAGGGGCCCGCGGGGCTGGGGGCCAGCGTAGTGGAGGGTGGGCGGCTTGTCATACACCTCGTTGTCCTGGGGAGGGGACACAGTATGAGGCAGGGTGTGGTGCCCCAGGTGAGGATGGGGATGGAGATGGTTGGGGTTGGATGGAGATGGGGGTTGGGAATGGAGATGGTTGGGGATGGGGATTGATATGGTTGGGGATGAATGGAGAAGGGGATGAAGTTGATTGTTGATGGATAGAGATGGTTGTGGATGGGATAAGGATAGATGAGGATGGAGGATAGGGATGGGATTGGGAAGGAGGATAGGGATGAGGATGTGCATGGGAAACAGAGGACTCACCAGAGCCGAACTGGGGATCAGGTTGTGCTCCTCCAGCTGCAAGGGCATGGCACATCAGATCCCAGCTGCCCCCCTCTCCTCTTCCTCGCGCACGGGTGGGGGGACCCCAAGCATCACCAAGAGTCACCACCAAGCCCCTGGGGCGGTGCTGTCCACACTCCCCTCAAGCTGGGCAGTGCAGCCCCGGCCAGGGTGCCCCTCTGTCCCCCCCACTCACCAGCACCCTGCGGAAGCCCCCACGCAGGCGGACGTAGAGTTCCTGCCGGTCTGTCAGGAAGATGAGGCTGCCCTCGGGCAGTTCGTGTGCAGCACTCAGCATCGCCTGGTACGTGGGTATGGCCTGGAGCTGTGGGCACAGGCCGGGGCAGGGCTCAGGGATTGGCTGCCTGCGCCATGGGCAACCCCTGCCCAGAGCCCTGACTCACCCCCAAGGACATCCCGTTGGTGCCTGGTGGTCCAGGGGGTCCTGGTGGTCCTGGGGGTCCAGGGATGCTGACAGCTGTGGGGGAAAGAGGGTGAGATGGAGAGAGTGCAGCACAGGGAGGAATGCAGAGCTGCAAGGAGGGATGCGTGGGATACAAGCAGGAATGCTGGGGGTGGCAGGGAGGGATGTGGGGGTGCAGGGCAGAATGCAGTAGAGCAGGTACTCACCTTGTCTGTGGGGACCTGGGAAGGAGGGTGGCCCAGGCGGACCAGGAGGGCCAGGGGGGCCCTGCCGCCCCTCGTATCCGATACCAGGGGGACCCTGAGGTCCTGGAGGCCCTGGTGGCCCAACAATACTGTCCCCCTTGGGACCCTAGGCAGCGTGAGAGAACATCTGTTGGAGCAAAGCCCCCAGGGATGCCACCCCCCAATGTGCCCCCCTTCATTCCCACCCTATGAGGTACTCACTGGCAGCCCGGGGTATCCCTGGGGCCCTGGAGGCCCTGGAAGTCCAGAGACTCCAGGACTGTAGAGTGGGGTGCTGCCTGGCTCGCCCTTCTCACCCTTGGGACCTGCATCCCCCTTGTCGCCCTGTGGGATGGCACAGCCTTAGGGTGAGCACCTGGGATGCACTGGGTACCCCAAGTGACACTGGGTTCCAGCTGCCAGTGTGCAATGGCCTTACCCGCAGGCTGGTACCGAAGTGACTCACATCATAGGGGAACTGGCCTGTGGAGAGAGGGAGAGGAGGGGAGAGGAGCCAGGATGGGCATGAGCCACCCCCTGCCTGCCTCTGCCAGCAGGGACCAGTCACCTACCTGGGGGTCCTGGGGGTCCAGTGTCACCTTTCTCTCCCTTTTGTCCTGAGAACTGGTGGAAACCTGTGGGGAGCAGCAGAGACACCATCTCAGAGCTGCAGCTCTAAGGGAGAAAGGGGGTTTCCCCCAGCCCTGCTTTGCCGAGGTTCCCCAAAATGCCCAGAGGGGGCTGGGAGAGGGACATGCACTTACCAGGGAACGCCGGGTGGCTGGAGTCACTGAAGGTCTGTGGAGATGCAAACGAAGTGGCTGCAGAGATGGCAGCATCCTCGGGACCCCCCCCCCAATGCTGGTGACAGTCCCACATGCCAGCCCCAGCCAGGATGTCACCAGAGCATTCTCAGTGCCCTCCGGGCAGGCAGGGGATACTGGGGGCCCAGTCACCAGCACGTCCATCACAGTGGCCGTGGTGATACTCACATTGCCATTGTTGTAGACTATGCTGCCAGGTGGCCCAGGGGGCCCAGGGGGGCCTGGGGGGCCTGGGGGACCCTGTGGGGGGCAAGAAGATTTGTCAGAAAGCAGACAGTTCCCACCACGGAGGGGGACAACCAGCCCCTGAGAGGAGACGTGCCCTTTGCGTAAGGGAATGGGGTGCTTGGGGAGACCCTCAGGGTGTGTGCAGCTGGGGGGTCACAGCAGTGCTCACCCGCAAGCCCAGCACGTCTGCAGGGTCACCCTTCTCGCCCTTCAGCCCGTTCATGCCAGGACGTCCCTGCGGATGAGCAGCACAGTGAGCCTCATCCCTGTCCCCCTGCCAGCCCCTGGTGTCACATCTGGTGCACCAGAGTCACTTCCGAGAGCCCAGCACCGCCCCATCCCTCGGGGTGTGGGACTCAGTGGGTGCAGGCTGTGCAGACAGGGAGGGGGACGCGGTGGAGGCGATGGACACAAACAAACCGGGAGCGGGTCTTACGGGTCTGCCCGGAAAGCCGATCTCTCCCTTCATCCCTGCTCGTCCTGGGGGACCCTGGAAGGGAGAGAAGACGAAGGTGAGGGATGCTCAGTATGGGGGCAGCCCTTCTGCCCAGGATCATTCCCATCCCTCCCTGTGGGACACAAGGAAGACGATGGTGATGGTGACTTACCAATGGTCCCATTGGGCCCTGCAGCCCTGGCTCCCCCTGCAAACAATGGAGAGGGAAAGGGCATCACCACCGGCACCACCTGGCACCTGTCCCATGGGGATGCCCCCCATTCCTGCCAGGAACCCACCTTTTCTCCTTTCACCTTGGCAGTGACCACGGTCCCATCAGGGCTGATGATGACGCCGGGCTCCCCCTTCTCCCCCTGCAAGAGAAG